GCCCTTTTCTTCTACTTTACGACTGCATTTTAATATCCACAAACATCCCGCCCTCCCCGGGCTGCTGCCAGCAGAGCCTGCATCGCCTGCGCCTGGCCTGCCGAGAAACCCCGGCCAAACCCTGGGCCCCAGCGCAGGGGAGAGGATTATTTTTCCCCCCTCGTTTTTTTTTTTTTTTGTAAGATATGTTTTCTATAGCTCTAATTGGACGGGCTTGAGCCCCGGCCAAGGCAAACACACCTGGGGGAGCCTCACTTTACAGACCCCATCTGCTGTGTCGGGGGCTCTGCTCCCCACACAGCCGCTGCCTGGCCCCTTTATAGGGGAGGGGGCCGCTGGGGTTGGGGGGGTAGGACCGCTCCCACGCCAAACCACTGAGCAGCCTCCGTGGAGGAGGAGAACCCAACGAGGCGGCGCAGGGAGATGGTGCAGAGGCAGCAGGGGCACCCGGCAGAGCCCTGTCCCACAGCAAGATTCCAGCCCGGCGTGGAGCTGAGGTATCTCTCCCCTGCCAGTGCTGCTGTGGTGGCGCAGGGCTCTGTGCCCACCAGGGTGGGATGCTGTGGGTGGGAGATGCAGCAGGTACCAGCAATGTTTTGCCCTTCCTGGGGTGAAGTACAGCATGTTCATCAAGGGGTTGCAGTCCTCAAAATCTGCATGTGCCCAGGGAGGGAGGATGTGGGAATTCCCCAGCATGCTGGGTTGTGTTTCGGGCTACAGGGCCACCAGGAAACCCATGAAACCCATTCAGGGGCTGTTCTGGACAGCAGACAAGGGACATCAGCATGCCAGGCCACTCCAGTGGCTTGCATTGACATCCAAATCCATGCTGGACTGAGCTTTAGGTACTTCCTGCAACTGTTGGCTTTTTTGGGGCTTTTTAGCAGGGCTCTTCCCCTTCCAGTTGTTTCAGGATCTGCCTCCAGTGCCCCCATTACCAGCGGGCAGAGCAGTGCTGGCACCCTTATGCCAGGGTCTCATGGGCTTCACCTCATATCTGTACTCAGCCCAAGCCAAGAGAGCTGTTGGGGGTCTCTGGTTCACCTCCTCTGGGGCCAGGGTGCATACCCTGACAGCAGGATGTGTGCCAAGGAGCAGCAGCACACTCACGGGGCACCCAGCACGTGGCTCATCCTGGAGTACATTTTTTCCTCCCTTCCACACACCATCTAACAGGGGTGTGCAGGGCACAGTGCTGTGCTCCCACTCCATCCTTAGGGATGTATCAGCACACCATCCCTTCTTTCTCCACCTGCCCTTGGTCACCCAGCAGCACCAAAGAGACATCACCGCTGCAAAAAGCGCTCCTGGTGCTCGAGGTGCCACTGACCACTCCCAGGAGGAGCTCTGGCACCCCTGCACCCTCTGCCCTCTGCCTGCCAAGGGCAGTACTGTGTTTTCTTGGGGTGCATTGCCACACACACCCCCCAGCACACCCAAGTACTTTGCACAGGCGCTGCTGACTTAGATCAATAAGAACTGAAGTGGCAGCTTAAAATAGAAAGGTGGGATCCAGCCTCACCAAGGCCTGCTGTCTCACTTCGGGTGGATGGGATGAGCTGTGGGGAATTACACAAGCTGGAATGTGCCTCTCTTCCCCTCTGGCCAGGCCAGAGGATCTCTTTGTGCATGAGGGGAGCTTTGGGCACAGCCGGAGCTGTGGCAGTGCACAGGGCAGCTCAAACATTTTGTGAAGAATTTTAGAGCTGTCCTGGCCTCCAGTCAGAGCAGGCTGCAACGGGAACATTTCGAAATTCTTTTGGATGAGGAAAATTCCATGGGCAGCCCCCCTCCAGAGAAAGTTTGGGATGGCTGAAATGTTTGGAGTGAGAGGCTGCTTGCTTTTGTTTACTCTGAACTATAACATTGGAGGGGGGGAATCCAAATGAAAAAAGAGAGACAATAGGAGCCTGTAAACAGAACTGGCCCCGAGTGGGGCTGGGGCTTCTCTCCAGCGCTGGGGAAGGAGATGTGTCAGCACACTCACTGCATGGCTCTGCTTTCCCCCTCTTGGATACAATCACACTTAATCTTTCAGAACTTGGCAAGGTTTTTTTCCCCTAGCAAAAAACGAGCCCGACGGTGTTTTTCCAACCTTCTCAACTTAGGTAAGGATCAGCCCCCATCCCCTGGCCCTGTACAGCAGCCCCCATGTTCTCCCCTTCTTTCCACTTTTTGCCACGTTTCCATCTCCTTTTGCCTTGGGCACTGCCATCTAGTTGGCTTGGGAAGAAGTGTGGTGTGGGGGCATGGATGCTGCCCCCAGTGAGGAGTTTTCCCAGCCTCTGTTCCTGCCATGTGCCTCACAACCAGCTGCCACCCCTGCGCTGCCTCCACGTGGCAAATTTGATGACCTTAGAGGCCTGTTCCAACCTTAATGATTCTATGAAAGCAGGTAGGATTGACTCCAAGCTTGGAGAAGACAGGTCATGGTTATCCCATCAGGTGAAGGAGACTGGCACCATTATCCCCACATCACACATTGTTGGGGGTCTGCAATTTCCATCCCCCTGCCCCTCTTCCACAGGGACTCTGCTGGGGGTGTACAGGAGGTTAATGGGACACCCTTTGCTGGTGGCTTTATTTGGGCCACCCCTTGCTGATGGCTTTATGTGGCTGCCCAGGTGGTCCTTAATGACTCCTGAAATCCTTCTCTTGCCCAAAAGGGATTTTGTTTTGCAAAAGGAGTGACAGCAAATTGCTAGCTGGGGGAGCATTTGTGTAAGGTGAGCTGTTTATTTTGGCCCTGCTGCGTTTTGGCTGACCCATGCGCCTTCGTGCCTCAGGGATGGAGCTGAGCCTGATGGCTCCTGGGCTCCAGCCAGCTTTGGAGCAGGGGGAGGGAAGGGGGAGCATCGCCTATGGGGATGCTGTGGGGCCCTGCTCCTGATCAGAGTTCCCAGCCCCAGGCTGGAGTTCATGAGGAGCATCAGAGGGAGCTGGGTGTGCCTGGGGTGTTCACAGGTATGTACATGTGTGTCTGTGCCCTGCATTTATGGATGCATGCGCTCTTGTATCAGCTCCAGGGCCAGCTTATGGGGAAGCTTTTTTCTGGGAGGTGCAGATGGTCCCGGGGGAGCAGAATGCAGGCTGGTGCCCGGCTGCTCTGCCATTCTGGGAGCTGTGTGCTCACTTAATTCTCTGCCAGCCTGGGCTGAGCCCAGGAGCAGAAAAATGTCCCAAATCCCAAAATGTTCCTGGGACAGGAAAAGCCTTTCCCACCCTGCTGTAATCACAGGGTGGCCAAGCTCTCTGCTGGCAGGTCCCACCCCTGTCCCCAGATCCAGCACTGTGCCCATCCCTGTCCTGTAACCGTGTGCCAAGGACACTGGGGATGCAGCACCCCCTCCCACCAACTTCCATGCCTCCACCCTAAAAATAATCTCCAAGCTGTAAAGAAACCCACCAGCACTGCAGCTACAGCACTGGTAGGTGTCTTTACAGCCGGGAGATTATTTTTAGGAATGCCTCTGGCACGTGGCTTTGGAGAGAGGAGTGTGGGGATGGGGATGGAGAGGGGGGCGCCCCTTCTCTCCCCCCTCGGAATGCAAGCGCTGCCAGCTGGCACAGGGCCAGGGCTGCTGGCTGCTAACAGAGCCCTCGCTGTTCTGGCCCTTGCCGATGCCTCCAGTTACAACCAGGAGCCAGAGAGCTCTTCCTGCAGGATGGAGCAGAGGAGAGCGGAAATCAGGGCGTTGGGGTGAGAGTTTCCCGGCTGGGGAAGGAGCAGAGCCTGACCTCCATGGTGCTGCTGGCAGGCTGAGGTGTGTAGTGGTCCCCCCAGCCCCAAGCACCCGGAACTGCTGGCAGCTGCTGGCTCCACAGAGGAGAGAGGTGACCCTTGGGTTATGGAGGGGTTTGGGCTTGGCTTTGGACACCAGCGGGGCTGGGGTCAGCTGGGTATCACCAAGGGGTTGGTGTGGTTGGATGGAGATGTGCATTGTATCTGGCTGTGGAGATAACTATTCCCTGGACAATGTTGGGTGTATGGACAATATCCCTGTGTTTGGGCTTAGCTGGGCTTAACCTTATGCCAGGGTTGCATTTGGTTTAGCCCCACATTTGAACTGTGTAACCCCATGACTGGGCTGTGCTGAGGTTAACCCTGTGTTTGAGCTGAGCTGTGGGTCAGCTCCACTCCTGAGCTGTGCTGAATTTAACCCCACATTAACATGGCATAACCACATGTTTGAGCCTCACATTTTCGCTGAGCTGAGTTCAGCCCCAGTCCTGGGCTGGACTGAGTTTAACCACACATTTAGACTGCACCAGATTTAATTGTCCCCCTGGGCTGGGTGGAATTTAATTCTCCTTCTGGGCTGTGGGGTATAATCCAATATTTGGGTTGTCCTGAGTTAAGCCCTGCATCAGGACTGTACTGGGTTTAGTCCTATGTTCAAACTGTGCACAGGTCTTATGGGACTGCACTGGCCTTACAGGAAAAGGCTCCAACTGGTTTTACTGGTTTAACTGGGGTAATTCTAGTGCACTGGGATTGCACTGGCTGCAGCTATGCATGTGTGTGTCCTGGCACAGCCCAGCATGCGTGGTAGCCCCCCCAGCAGGCATGGGGGGCCATGCACCCCACCAAAATGGTGCTGAGGAAAACAGCCCTTTTTGAGGTCCCCAAGGCACTGGGGTGAGGGACTGGGGACAGTGCTCAGATCATCACCACCAAGTGGGCAAGGTATTGCCTGAGGTGCTGCTGGTAGTCCTGGAGACTGGGCATGGCCCTGGTGGTGGTGGGGGACATGGTTCCCCCCAGCAGCCACTGCTGGGCTTTCTCTGGGCACCCAGGGAGGGTGCCAGCAGCATCTGAGGGACAGGGCTGGCTGTTGCAGGGAACCATCCAGCAGTGGGGTTGATGCTCACAGTCACACGTTCATGCAGTGATGGTGGAAGTCAACAGTGCTGCAGGGATGGGGTGATTGCAGGGCCCTGGGCAGATCAGCAGCCACAGGGACCTACTCAGACCATTCCATGGCTCCTCAAAGCGAGGCATGGTGCTTCTGCAGGCCTGTCAGGTACAGAGGGATTAGCAAGGCACAGCTCCAGAGGCACATTTCCCCACAGGGAAATAAGGAGAGGGGAATTGCTGTGGTATTCTGCATCTCAGCATAGGACATTCTTCGTGCAGCAATCACTGGCAGACAGGAGAGTTTGTAGCACGGGGCCAGGGATGCTTCCCCAGCTCAGGGGATGCTCATAAGGGTGCCATCTCTGGGGCATTAGAGCCAGCTTTGGGCCTCTGCCCATTGCTTTTTGCAGGTGGGTGACTCCCACCAAGGCCTGGCACAGGGTAGGCAGAGCTGCCAAGTGCTCTTGGGTCATTTGCCATATCTCTGTTGCAGCAATGCTGCCCCCGACCACCCTAGGAAGAGGTTAAGAGGCACCCCAGGTTTCTGTGCTCAGTGGGGAGCATCCCAAGTCTTCACACTGCCATCTGCAGCCTTGAGGCACAGTTTCATCTGCTTCTGTCCCTCCCTGTCCCCATCACCCCAGTTCTGTGTGCAGCCCATTTGCTTTGAAGAGCAACTTCAAATGAAGCAAAAAAAAGAAAAAAAAAAAAGAAAAGGAAAAAAACCCAACAACAAAAACCTAAGAAAACAAAACCCAATGTCTTTCAAAGCCCTGAGCACAATGGAAAGTTGGCTTCCCCCAGGAATCTGTGCTGGGCTTTGCCAGGCCACAGCAGGGCATGGCACAGATCAGCTATGCCAAGGGAGCTGTCACATCCAACGTGGGCATTGGTGTCGGTGCACATGGTCATGATTTTTGAGGGAAGTTTTGGCTTACAGCACTTCAGATTGCATGCAGGAAGGGGCTTATGTCAGGATTTCTCCGCACCGCTGCCCAAAAACCATGAGCTCAGATGGTGCCCAGCAGAACAGCAGGATCAGGGAGGTATGGAGAGTGAAACCTTGCCTTTCTGGCTCCCACCCACGGGTGCCAGAGCTGCCTGGTCACCCTGGCCATGCCAGTGACAAGAGCATCCTGTGCTGAGGGAGCAGGGTCCAGCACTGCTGCCCTTCCCACCAGGACCAAGCCACACCCCCAGGCTGAGCTGGGTCCCTCTGCCCTGGCTGTGGCAAGGGGATGTCACCCAGCCTGGGCTGCCGGCAGGCATCTCTCTGGCCAGGATGAGCATGAGGGGAAGAAGAAAAGCTCTGATTGTTCCCTCTGTCCCGGCTCGGCTCCAGGACCACTGTGCCGGGACTCTGTGTCCCCAGAATGTGTCACTGCTGGTGCAAGCATCAAGGGATGTTTTCTCTGCCTGTGTGCCCATCTGTGGGGGTGTGGAGCCTCCAAGGAAGGTAGGCTTGGCCACTCACATGCTCGTGGTTATTTGCACGCCTCTTTTTCCCTTGGCCAGGGACTTTGGTGGCAGAAAATAAGGGGATCCTTTCTGGCCAGGCTGTCTTGTAGCACCTGGCCCCCTGCCCTGCTTCTGCACCTGGGGCACACGAGGGCTCTGGTCTTCTCTGGTTCTGTGGCTCTTTCCCCTTTTGTTTTTGGCCTTTGGGCAGGCAAGAAAGGGCTTGCTCCTTCTCTCTGCAGTGATTCTGCAGTGTCCCCAGGGATAGTTTTTGGCAGTGCTCATGTGGGTCATTTACTGAGTCAGCATGTCTGGAGGGGCTCAGTGCTGCCTTCTCACACTGCGGGGGGCCCCTCTGAGGCAGGGGAGCTCTTGGGGTGCTAGGGTGAGGATGGGGAGCTCTGGGAGCACCCTGGGACAAAGGGTAATGAAGGGTGGAAGATGAGGACTGGCCATCAGGATGAGCAGTCTTAGGGTTAAGTTTAGGGTAAGAGTTAGGGACCATTAGGGTTGGGGTCTGGGTAGCCAGACTTAACCACCAGGGTCATTATGGAGAGGGGCTGGATACCCTCTGCAGTGTTTGAATGAAAAACCAGGGTGGTCATGAGAAGAAATTATTTTCTTTTAAAGCTGTTTTTCTCTCTCTATATTAACACACTCTCTCTTCTTCCTGACATACACACACACACCCACTCCCCTTCCTCCTCCCCCCAGAACTATTCCTTCACTCTAGCCCACGTGGTTTTTGGAGTTATTTTTGGTCTCTGCTTTTAAGAAAAAATACACTCATTTTCATCTTCTTCTTTTTTTTTTTTTTTCCATCACCAAAATATTTTACTTTCAGGCCAAATGTTCCCAGTTACTTACCAGCATAGTTTTGGCAGAGACTTTTTGACTGATATTTCTTGGGAACATTTCTAGGGTGGTTTGGTAGGAAAAGCTTATGACAGTCTCATGAAATTATTTACATTTGGGGCTTGTGTTTGAGGCTGCCTGGCATGCTCAGAGCGGGGTTGATGTGGGGTGCCACACGCCTTCCCCCCTGCAGCAGATTGCCTTGTAGCTCTTGCTTCCTTTGCCAGGCGGTTTGGTCTGTGGCCACGGACAGTCAGCCACAGGAGGGGAGCTGGCTGCTGCTCTGGGGTGTCTTTGCCGGGCTGGAGCATCCCTCCCTCCGCTCCCTCAGCTGTTCAACCCAGGGGGACACAGATTTATGCCTACAGATTTATGCCTGCTCTTGAGGCTGGCAGGGAGCTCCCTGCCTTATGTGCCCTCAGCCCCTGCCTGCAGTTGGGAGCAGAGCCCAGCAGTGTGGGTGTAAATAAACAGGCCAGTCCAGTTGTGAGGGGTGGGCAGGGGAGTTTTCTAGGGAGAAATCATTCATTTCTGACTGACAGAGGTTGTGTGGCACTCCTGGTAGGGACAGTATGATGTTTGCCAGGGCAGATGCCCTGGGGTGATGGGGCACAGATGGGGCTGGGATGGTCAGGGTGACACTGGCTGATATGTCCTGCTGATGCAGGACTCTGCAGGTGGCTCTGGATGCTTTAGGTAGTGCTGGCTGGCACAGAAAGAGTGCTGGATGGCATGGATGTCACAGAGCACTGCTGGCTGTGATGGACAGAGTGATGGTGGTGGGGCAGGACAGGGCAACACTGGCTGTGTTGGCCAGGGTGGCACTGGCTGATGCGCCCACAGTGGTGTATGTTGGGATGGAAAGGGTGTACATCTCTAACCCTGTATCCCCTGCCCCTCTCACTGATGATCACTGAGTGTGAGGAAGGGATTTCAGCCCCATTCTCCCCGAGATGGAGCCTTACCTGGACCAGCCTCACAGGGGGTGCAGGCATGGGCAGTGATGTGAGACTTGGTACAACCTGAGCTATCACAGCCCTGCTCTCCCCAGCTCTGTGAGCCTGTTTACATCTGATTGCTGTCACCTGCCATGTAAATACAGGCCAGAATTTCTCCTTGGTCCCTTCCCACCCCAGCAGCACATGCACAGGTCTCTGGACCACCCTGGGGTTGGGAGCCAGCCAAGGCTCCCAGCACAGGATTGCAATGGCAAAGAACCCTTAATCCCCCCAACCCACACAGCCCTAAGCTCCTGGCCATTGTTTGCCCCCTGCATCCCTGCCCCAGGCATGGGGACTGCTCAGCAGCCAGGAACCAGCTGTGACTGTGGCACAGACACTGCCAGATGTCCCAGCTGGGGTCCCGGGGTTCAGTCCCTGTTCTGTCCCCAGCAGGATGGGATGAGATGAGAGGAAAATGCAGGATCCAAGGCCCTGCAGGAATACTGTGGGCTGTGGACTGTATCAGCTGCCCCATTGCAGGGAATAACACTCTCTCCTCCCCTTGTCTGCCTCCTCCAGATGCACAGTTCCATCCCAAGCCTGGGCAGGGTGATGGTGTTCCTCGCAGCAGCCCTGGCATCAGCCTCCTTTGCTATCCCTGAAGACTGGGGAGAGGAAGGTGAGACCCCCACCAAGTGCCCCCATACAGCACCCCTCCCCATGTCCCATGAGGACCCTGCGGGGACCCCATTTCCCCCAGACAGGAACAGACCTACCAGGGCCACGTGAAACACAGCCCTACATCCTACAGTGATGGCCAACCTGTGTTTCTGCTCATTGCCCTGCCCCAAGTGGGACTAGTCCTTACCCTGTGGTGGTCCCTGCATGAAGCCAGACCCCATAGCCAGTGCCCACTGTGTGTGGGATACAGCCCCAGGGGCTCCCCAGCTGCGTCCCCAGGCCTGTTGTGGGGTGGTATGGAGTGCTAACACCCATCTGGGGACATGTGTCCCTCCAGGCGTGCAGTATGGACAGCTGGGGACAGACGTGACCCTGTCATGCCCCGGTGCCCGTGCCAGGTAAGTCTTTTCCGTGCACATCAAGGGATCTATCCAGTGGGATGGTTTACGGGGTGGGCTGGGCATGCCTGTCCTCTCTCTTATCCCGCCTGGTCTCTCCTCCCCAGCTCAGCAGTGCGATGGAGGCGAGCGGGCGCCGCGGCGCTGCCGGAGGGCTCAGTGATCCAGCAGGGATCCCTGGTGCTGCCGAGCGCCAGCCCGGCCCTCGGGGGCACATACAGCTGCCACAGCGAGGACGGCAGCCTCCTGCACTCCGTGTCCCTGCGTCTGGGGCGTGAGTAGCATGCCTGTGAGCTGGGCTGCTCCAGGGGGAGCGTGGTGCCTGCAGCCCTGCCGGGGCATTGCCAGAAGGGGGCTCGGTGTTGGCACAGGCATCCCTGTGTGCTGGAAGGGATGTGGGATGGGGGACTCTTCACTGACTGCTGTTTCTCCTGGACCCTAGACCTGCCTGGAGTTCCCTTTGTGTCCTGCAGAGCATCTGACTATGAGAATTTCTCTTGCTCCTGGACCTCCAGTGTGGAGACCTTCCTTCCCACCAGATACATCACCACATACAGGTGAAGTATCTCCACAGGGCATGGAATGGGCTTGTTATGGTGTGAGCTCTGGGTCACAGCCAAGGATAACCACCGGATCCATCTGGCCATCCCACACATGCCCTGGGTTCACCTCCTGCCCCAAGGACCGCACTGCACCCCAGAGCAGGTCCTGTTTTGGGGTCAGCAGAGCACCAAGCCTTTGCTTGCTTTCAGTGGGGGTCTCAGCAGCACTGAGGGGCTGACACAGGCAGGCTCCCTCCCTGCTGACAGCTCTGCCAGCACCAGAGGGGCAATAAAAGAGAAGCAGGTCATCTGCAAGCCTCCACACTCCAGCATGCTTTGGGATGAAAGGAGCCCTGACAGCATTGCTGCTTCTAATTATCCCTGCAAGCCAAATTAGTGGGCGGCTTTGAAGTCCAATGGAGCTCATAAAGCACAGCCCTGCTGAAAGCTGCAGGAGCCGAGGGCTTGGTGGGGAGGGGGCTGAGAGGAGCATGAGGGGCTCCACAGGGAGGGGGAGTGGAAGCATGGGATTTGGCAGGCTTCAGGGGGAGGGTGAAGCCAGGCTCTGGGGAGCTGCTTTTATCAGTGCCTTTGCTTCTGTGTGATGAAATCCCAGGCAGGGAAGGGTGTCCCATTTCTTTTCCCTGGGATTGCCAGCTCCTGCTGCCAGGCCGTTCACTGGAAGAGCTGGACATGATTCTGGCTCTTTCCCCCATGCTGTCACATGTGTGTGTCAGCATGGGAGTGTGGGGCTCTGCTTTGCTCCTGTCCCTCCTCTGGGTCATGGTGGGGTTCACTTTGTGCTGCCCCCTCATCCTAATCATCTGCTTTTCCATCTGTCTCCATGGCAGGAAGAAATCCCTGACAGGCGAAGAAAAGCGGAGGTAGGACTGACTCCCACCCTGCTCCTGCTCCCTGGGGACTGGCCCCTATCCCAAAGGCTCTGCTGCTGTCTTCAGCACGGACCCTAAAGCAAGAGCTGGGGGTCCCCATCAGGGAGCCAGCTACTTCCCAGCTACCCTGGGAGTCTGGGAGAAGGGTTTGCCTCAGGGAGAAGGGTTTGCCTCAGGGAGGGACCTTCCCAGGCAGAGTGTGGAGCTGGGATGAGGGTCCCTTCTGTCATGCTCAGAGGGATATGCCAGACTCTGGAAGGATGAGTGCAGCTGAGCCTGAGGGGCTAATGTGATGGTGTTTGCAGGGGTCCCAGGATGAGGGAAGAGACAAGGATCTGACTCTATGTTTCAGAAGGCTTGATTTATTATTTTATGATATATATTGTAGTAAAACTATACTAAATGAATAGAAGAAAGGATTTCATCAGAAGGCCAGCTAAGAATAGAAAAAGAAGGAATGATAACAAAGGCTTGTGTCTCGGACAGAGAGTGCGAGCCAGGTGACTGTGATTGGCCATTAATTAGAAACAACTACATGAGACCAGTCACAGATGCACCTGTTGCGTTCCACAGCAGCTGATAATCATTGTTCACATTTTGTTCCTGAGGCCTCTCGGCTTCTCAGGAGAAAAAATCCTAAGGAAAGGATTTTTCATAAAACATGTCTGTGACAGGCTGCCTCCTCCACAAGGGTCCTGGCATGAGGGTCTTCCATGGCACCTCCTTGGCAGCATTTGGAAACTCTGCATGGTGAGAGGGTAGGACATGTCACCAGTGTGCCCCCCTGTCTGCAGGAACAAGAATGGGCACGTGGGGCTGTGCCTGCAGGATCCGTCCCACCCCGGCACCTGCACCGTCCACAGGTCAGAGTTCTGGAGCTCCTACCGCCTAAACATCACCGAGGTGAACCCCCTGGGCTTCAGCTACCGCCTTCTTGATGTCACCATGCAGGCCATCAGTGAGTCCCCATCCGTCCATCCATCCATCTACCCGTCCGTCCCATTGTTTGTCCATCCCTGGGCAGTTACCTGTGGGTGACAGCAGGGAACCCTGTGCATGGCAGTGTGGGGTGACAAGGGCTTCCTGACCTTTCCCACACAGTTAAGCCAGACCCTCCAGAGGGCTTGGTGGTGGAGCCCATCCCCCTGGCCCCACGGCGGCTCCATGTGAGCTGGAAGTACCCTTCCTCCTGGCCAAAGGAACCCCACTTCCAGCTACGGTTTCGGCTCCAGTACCGACCCGTCATCCACCGTTCCTGGTCCGTGGTGAGTGTGCAAGGGAAGGCAGGGCCAGCACAGGAGCAGGGAGTGCATGGGGCCAGGGAGAGGTGCCCCTGCCTGCCCCACAGCTCCCCTCTGCCTGGCACAGGTAGAGACGGTGAATCTGTCAGAGGTTATCACGGATGCCTTCGCCGGGCTGGAGCACGTGGTCCAAGTCAGTGCCAAAGATTTCCTGGATGCGGGGAATTGGAGCGAGTGGAGTGCTGAGGCCCGGGCAACGCCAGTCAGAGGTGAGAGAGGGACAGGCTGCAGCCTCCAGCAGCCAACCACATTGTGCCATCCCTCCCCAAAGTCCCTCCAGAACTCTGAACTTCCCCTCTTCAGTCCCTTCCCCATGGCACTCATTCCCCCAAAGATCAACCAGAGTGAGTCTCAACTCCAGGACCACTGAAGGCTGGGAGGCAGAGCTGTAGGAGGACAAAACTCCCCAAATCTCCCAGACCATGTCAGTCTGCAGCTGCACTGATGCCATTTGGGAATTGCCCCCCACAGGCTTGGGACAGAGAGGGGCTTCCAAAGCACCATTAGCACCTCAGTGGCACCCTTGGGCTCGTGGGACCTCTGGGGCACAAAGACACCCTTCCACACTTCTCTCTGTGGGTCCCTGGGGTGCTGCAAATGCTTTTGGTGAGTGTTTCCATCCCTTCTGTCCTTCCAGACCTGGCCTCCACAGCAAGTGAAGAAACCACTACAGATGCCAGACTGGAGAGCCTGGCTGAGGAGCCCTCCCAGGCTCCCAACCCTGAGCCCATCAGTGAGTAGAGCTAGGGGTGGTGGGCAGGAGGGCCATGTGTGCTGCTGAGAGCAATGGGAAGGGTCTCTTGCCCCAAGCCCATGTGTGCCTGGGCTGTGGGAGTGTCCAGGAGCTTGCCATAGGGTCCCTCAGGTGCTGGGGACTGTGACATCCCTCAGCTGTGACAGTCTCTCTGTCCCAGATGGCAGTGACCCCTTGGAGAAGATGGCCGTCCTGGTGTCCCTTGGGATCTTTGCCTTCTTCATCCTGGCTGCCGTTCTTGTCATCACCATCCTCATCTGGTAGGCTGGGTTTGGAGAAGGAGGGGCTGTATGATTGTTGTCCCCATCCCATCCTGAACCCTCAGCATGGAGTGCCCTGTAATCCCCCAGCCCTGCTCTGGGGTCCCTGCCAAAACACACCCACTGATGCCCTGTAGGGTGGTTTATGCTCCCCTTGCCCCTGTGCCTCACCAGTGCCTCTTCCCAGCGCATCCATTACTGCCCAGCCTGCCTGGGCTCTTTCTAACGACCCCAGATCCAAGGGACCTTTCTCTGAATCCCCTCACGATGCTGCTCCTTCTAATATCCTCCCAAAGGCTCCTGCTGGAGAGTCTCACACTCCAGAGTTAGCACAGACGTCCCTCCATGTGCCTTTGCTCCCTGGGAATCCTGTCCCCAGGTCCCCTCTCATCCCACCACTATGGGATCTCCCTGCCATGCTCTGGCTCTGCTATCAGTCTCTGTCCTGTTCCATCCATCCCAGTCCTGTTCTATCTGGTGACCAGTTCCTGCTGTAGCCCTGGAGCTGACCCACTGGAGAGGTTAAGCTGAGCTGGGCACAGCTGGGCACAGCTGGATGGAAACACAGCAGGATCCCTGAGAATCTGGGCAATCCTGATGCTCAGGGAGGCTGCTTGGGGTCTTCAGCCACCATTGCTCTCATCCCCAGGCTCCGGGTGAGGAAACAAGGCAAGGACAAGACCAAACCCAGCTTTTTGGTTGCTGCCACCCACTTGAAGGCACTACCAAGTGAGTCGGGGTGCAGGGTGGGGAATGGGGGGGAAATGTGGGGTGGGAAATGTGGAGCATGGGGCAGGTCAGTGTCTCCAGTGTCCCCCTTGACCCCCTGTCCTCTCTCTTGACAGAAGCTCAGATCCTGTAGTGAGCCCTGGCCGATCCCTGCTCCCTGCACCCACTTGCCCACGCGTGGGACTTGATGCCACTGCTGGCCCCAAGGAGCCCACGCCTCCACAGCTGTGGACATTGCCGGAGCCCCCAACACCCCGGGGTTGCAGGATGGATCCTAAGGAGAGAGGCTCTGCTCTCGGGAGCGTTGGACTGCCTGGGCCCACCAGGAGCCAGCTGGAGTCACTTCAGGCTCAGGGTGACAGGCCAGCTCCACCTCTGAGCGCTGCTAAACCAATGGGGATAAGAGACTGAGCCAGCCCCACTGCACTGCCTAGTGCTGAGGGGGACCATGGGTGTAGGCTCCGGGGGTGCCAGGCATCAGTGGGGTGCTGATCCCTGCCTGTCACCCCCCACCAGCCACCAGCAGGCAGAAGAGAACACCCCCTGCCCCTTCCCTCTGCCCCAATCCCCGTGCTGTGGCTGGATGGAGCAGAGATGCCAATAAAGGGGATATGCCAATGCTATCATTGGCACTGTCCAGGCAAAACCCCTGTGCAGGTGATGCTGGGCCAAGGGAAGGGTGAGTGCCAGCTTGGGAATGGTCCTTGCAGGAGGTGCACAGGCAGCAGGGCTGCCTCCCAAACTGTTCAGCCCTCTCCCCAGGTGCATGCAGGGGCTGAGGGAGACCCATGCCAAGGCTAAGTGCCAGAAGAGGATGCAGACAGGCAGCTGTGTGGGACATCTCCCCTACCCTCACCAGCATGACAGCTGAGACAGGACCCTCTGCACAGCCCCCTTGCTCTGCATGTGGCCCCCTTGCTGCACCTCGACCCAGCCCCTCTAATGGCTTCCATGTGTTGGCACCTCCAGATCCCAGTGCTCCATGCCAGCAGCCCAATGAGATCCAGATGGAGCTGGGGGGAAATTCAGACAGCAGCAATGTGTGGAGCAGGGGGAGCAGAGCCAGTGCAGGATGGGGACCCACCTGGGTCCTGGGGCTGCCCATGAACCCACGATGCAGAGGGAGCCTGGACTGGGGCAGCCACAATGGGTCCTTGTGTGGGCTGTGTTGGAGGGAGCTGGGGCAGGCTGTGCCTTTTGCAATGTGTTGTGTGCCCACAGGCTCGCTGCTGCTCTCACTGGGTGCCCTGGTTGTGGGGTCATGAGGGCTCTCCATGCTTGGCTTTGTGGGGTTGCAGCCCCTCACTGTCCCTCACGAGCACAGACACTGAGTGAGGGAGATGGGGGTCAGCCCTCTGTCTGCAGTGTGCTGCTGGCATGGCACTGTCCCTGCACCAGAGCAGAGCTCTCCACAGGCCAGGTAAGGCAAGTCACCAAGTTGGGGAGGTGTAAGGAGCCAGATCTTGCCTGGACTTCCAGGCTCAGCAGCCACATCACCTCTCCCAGGTGTATCCCATGGTTTGTCAGCTCCAGCTGTATCACACTGCCATCATCTGCTGTGCTCTGGTCCCCAGCACCCAGCCCAACCAACACCCATTCTGATGTGTCACACAGTCACCCTTGTCATGTCATGGTCACCCTTGTCTCTTCTCAGTCCCCAGCATGGCATGGGCAGCCTTCGCCATTGGAAACCTCCTCTTATCACCACCAGGTCACAATCCTCTGCCACTGTGGAAGGGATCAAGGCAGTGGTTGTCCAGAGATGCTGTAGAACACAGGTGATGTGCATCCCATCGCTGTGGCTCCAGTGTTGGCAAACAACTTAGTAATTTCCCAGCGTCTGGTATTGGTTTGGAGACTGATGCCTGCTTGAGATGTAGCAGCACACCAGCCAGAAAATGGGAGACAGCAGCTCTGGCCCCTGTAATCTGCCTGCTTTTAAACTCCAGAAGGTCCATGCATGCTCCAAATAGAAGTTTGTTGCTGCTCTCTGGGGAACCCATAGGTCTGTTGTCCCTGTGTGCCAAGCCCTGTGTTCCCTTCCTTAGGTGAGGCTTGCCTGGCCAGGCAATAGGGACACCCAATTCTGGTGCCCAGGAGAGGCACATCTGGTCCTCATCACTGCATCCTGCTGCCCATGGCCCTGGAGTGTGACCCCTTTCCTCTCTGATGTCAGGAGGCATGACCTGCCATCCATTTGGCAGCTGAGATACCAAGAGCAGACAGGGAGTCTGCACGCCACCACAAAGTCCTGCATGCCTGCACTGCAGCTTCCTGCTGGGATGTCCCATGGCTCAGCTCCCTACCCCAGCAGCCTGTAGATGTGACACACAAGCCTTGGGGACCCAAAGGAAGCAGCAAATCCTGTGCTTTGGGGAATAAAGATGCCTGGTGCCGGGTGCTGCCCTCCCCATTGCCAAAGGGGAGGATGCACTGGTGCTGGACGTGGGCAAACAGGGCTTTCCAGTGGACTGAGAAGATGCAAGGGGAGGGCTGGGGTGAGCAGCAATCTGGAATAAAGGAGAGGGATCCAGATGCCAAAATCAACTTTGTCTTCAAGCTGTGGAGAAGAAAAACAGGAAGGGACCATGAGACCAGTCCCAGTGCCGGCACCTCCCTGTCCCACTGTGGGGCCAGGGCACTTCCTCTGGGCTTGGGCTCCCTGGTGGCTCACACAGCTGCTGAGTGAGCAGGAGGCTTCCTGCTGCAGGCTGGAGCCCTGCCTGGACGCACCCTGCCCCAAGTAGGCAGAGGCACATCCAAACTTGCCTTTGCTGCCGTATCCCACCCACCCCAGGGTGGATGCTGTGCCAAGATCGCCAGGGGAGCTGGTACAAGCCAGGCCTGGAGATGCTGAGAATGTGCCAGGTCAAAGCAGCCCATGGACAGAATCCACATGAGGCAGGGATGGGTCCAGCTTCCTGGCATGGAATAGGGACCAGCCCAAGCCCGGCAGGAAAAAAAGTGCAGGAGAACATGGCCTGGGATATACTTGGTTTGAAAAATTTCCATCAGCCAATGCTCCCCACCGGGGAAGGTCCCCAGCGCTGAGACACGCAGGCATCCATATCCATTGTCTCCATCCAGCACAGGGCAACCAGATCATGTCTCATGCAGGGGCTTGTTTGGGAAATCCATAGCTTTGGCAAAAGCCATGCAGCAGGGCACTGGTTGTGGGCGGTTGTGCAGCACTGCCTGGGTTGTTTGACTGCCACCAGCCCTGCCAAATTTCTGAGCTAGCCCTCAGGATTAGCCTCCTCCTCTCCCTCCCTCGCTGCCAGGATCAGCCCGCATTTTGCAGGGGAGGAGGCGAGTTGCACAGGACTGTGAAGCAAAACAGTCTCAACTTACCTCTCATGGCTGCTCCTGCTTCCTTCTGTGCCAAATCCTGAGCCAGGGAAAGAAGGAAAGGCAGCTTCAGCAGAAGAGCCATGAAACATACATCTATCTATATGCGCCATGAGAGGATGCAGAGAGCAAAGGGTACATACACAGTCAGTGGTTCAGCAGGGAGGGAGGGAAGGAGGATGCATGGATTGAGGGAAGCAGACATGCAGATGTGTATATGGATGCGTGGATCAGTTGTCAGAGGGAGGAAGGGGTAGATGGATTTATAGATGAATGTATGGATAGGTATTTGGACACTCAGTTACCATCCCAAGCATCAAAGATGCTCGCTCTGCAGGAGCTGACTTGTGAAGAGGGAGGAGAGGCCCATGGGCAGAGAGCAAGGATTGTGTTTGGGAACAAGTCTTGGGTGTGACCTATGCACCCAGTCCTCATATAAATGGCATCACAGCTGACATGAGGAGACAGAGGCTGAACTGTCACCAGCTCAGGTCCTGAGAGTACTGGGAGAATGTGGGCCATCTCCAGAGGGATTGCATCCCCCTCAGGAGCCACTTTCATCTCACACTGCCCAGACACTGAGAGAGCAGGAACAGCAGGGACTATTCCCACAGACACAGTGAATCCAAACATGAATGCTTTAAAAACGTAGTGCTGAGTGTTCATCCTGACCATGGCTTTCATCTCACCTCCATGTGGATACCTCTGCCTGGGAACTTGCTAGAGATCCACGACTGAACCCATTAGAGATCCCTACAATCCCCCAGACTCCCTCTTCTTCGTCTGCCTCCCTTTCTAGCTGCCACAGCCCTGAACATTCCTTGCTCTTCTTTCCTGAAACAGAAGAGGAGACATCACCTGCCAGGCCAGATGTGGAGAAGGGAGAGACCTGAGCTGCCTCTTGCTGCTGCATTGTCAGCTTCTCCCTCCAGAAATGGGTTGTTTCTTTTTTTGCTTGCTGAGGCTGGCCCCTTCCCTGCCTCTAGGAATCTTTTGGTGTTTCACAGATGGGAAATGCCAAGCACCTGGCCACAAAGATGCTGGGAAGCAACACCCAGCAGCATAGCTCTGCCCAAGCACTGCTGCTGGTGATGCTCTTGGGAAATGGCTGCTCCCTGCTCCAAGCAGCAGCAGCAGCAACCCACAATTTTCCTGCTAGATTTTTTCAGCACTGGAAACAGTCCTGCTGTCCAAGCAAAAGTTCCCAGTGTTTTGTGTTCCTGCCCTGGAGTGTGGTGTCACTAGGGGACACGTGCTGTGTGCTCCCCATGCACACATTTCTGAGCACTACACCTCCTCAGGGGTGCCATGTTACTTGCTCAGAGATGATCTCCTCCCTTCCCCGTGGCAGGAACTCCATCTTCTCCTCCAGCCGCAGGGACTAAAACAGAGCAGGACATGCTTTGGGAGCTTCCCTGGGCAGCCCCTCTACCTGCTCTCCTCCCACCAGCTGCACCTTTTCCTTCCCTTCCTTCACTGCCACATCAGCTGCTTTGTCAGCATGGGCCGAATAAACTAGTAGAGGATATGGACAGCGTGGCCCAGACCTCTGCAGAAACTTCTGAACCAGCTGGGGCACTCCAGTGCTCCCCATGTTTCCAGGATTCCATGGAGCGGGCACTGGGCAGACAGAGTTCTGTACAGCTGTGCCTTTGCCTGCATCCTGAACATGATGGACCCCAGTTAAAGGTGTCTCTGGGAGTCTCGTGTGCTCTTTGCAGGGTCACATCACATTCAAGCAACTCCCAGCCTTTGTTCTCCACTGGGAGATCCACCAGAAGTGGGAGCAGCTGAGCTCCACATGAATTCCAGGCACTGGCACCAGCACAGTCACCTCTGTGCTGATGGATCTGGAGGCCATAAGGTGCCAAAAGTGTCCAAGATCTGTCTGAGATCCCCTCCTGGGATCACGGCTGATCCCCAGGATGATCTGCAGGTCTTAAAGGCACTGATTCCCAGGGGGAAGCTAACCTGGAAAGTTCTGATCACTAGAAATAAGCTGACCTGGAAGGCACTGATGACAGAGAGGATGCTGACTGGGAAGGTGCTGATTGCCAGTGGAGTGCTGGAGATGCCAGCCTGGAGATCCCAGGAGGATCCTAACCTGGAAGAGAGATGCCTGGGAGGATGCCAGTCTGGAAGGCACCAGTCCCCAGGGGTTTGCTGATCTGAAAGGCACCATTTATCCAGAACATGATGCTTTTTCCCCTACTGCA